CGGGGCTGTGGCTGGGCTGGTTTGTGGCTCTTTCTCTGTTTTGGGCTGCTTTGCCTCTTCTCTTGCTGCCTTTGGATATTCTCTGTGTCCTGGGAAGGTGAGGGACCTGCCCTGCCCTTGGCCAGGTGGGGACAGAGGAGCACAGACACCTCTGACACACAGACATAGGGGTTTGGGACACCAAAAATGAGTGACAGCGTTCCCTTCCCTCCTCAGCTGGTCTGTGATGGGAAAAGACAAATTGGTGCCTTAAATATGGGAGATGGGGTAACTTATGGTGGTGTGACAGAGTGCAGAGATTTTCTAGCAGTAGCCATAAATCCACACAAATTGTTCTTCTCCTTGTAAGGGAACTGAAGAGAGGAAAACAAGAAGGATGGGACTGCATGGGCTGAAGCTGGAATTGGACAATGAACTCCAATATGCAAATAGAGCAGAGCTGATAAATTAAGAGGCCCTGTGACTGGTGTCCTTTTTGTCACCATTTTGGTTCATCTTGGGTGTAGCTCTGGCTGGGCTCTTGTGCTGCCCAAGATGGATCCATTGAGGTTTTTAATAAATCCTTGCTTTATTCTTTAACTCCTCCTAGCCTCTGTTCTGGGTCAGCCTTCCCGAGGTCCCAGGCAGAGCAAGCAGGTCATGGTTTGTGTTCCTCTCACACTTTGGGCTGCTCTGCATTCCCAGGCTGGTCCAGCCAAGATCCAAACCATGGCACAGGGATGCAGGTGTGCAGGGAAAAGAGCAAACAGGAGCTCCACGTGCTCCAGAGGGAGAAAATCCAGGATTCTGCAGCACCTCAGGCAGGAGGCAGCTGGATGAAATCCTCCTTGCTCTGAGGACTGCTTTTCTTTGAGCATTCCTGTCCCTGGGACTGTTCCCATCGGTGTTTTGATTGAGGGGTGCCATCATCCAGCTCAGAAATGGCATCTCTGCCTTCCTCCCATGCCAAGAGCTCCCCAGCCCAGCTGCTTTGTTTTTTCAGACCTGAGAGAGTTTATTTGGGAGATTTTCTGGCTGCTCAGAGATACCATCAGTTTGTCTCTGATTTTGGGGTCAAGTTTCTGCCTGAGGCTGGGGATGTTTGGCCTGAGGATTTGTTTTGCCCTTTGTGAGTTCAGGGGCAAAGCAGAAAATGAGTCTCTGTAACTGCAGGCTGTGAAAACCCCTCTCCCTGGCAGGGCATGTGCAGAGGTGGCACAGGGAAATCTCTGCCCAGTGCTGGGCAGAGCTCCTGGTTTGCTTAGAAGCAAATCTGTTCTGGAAATGCTCAGTGCTGGCCGTGAGCCCTCAGCTCATTCCCTCTCCCAGGGTCACTCCTGGAGTGCCCAGAGCTGGAAAGTTCCTCCTATGCAAAGTGTTCTCCAGCCCAGCTGGGTCAGTTTGTTTTTTCAAATAAAAAAAAAAGTTTATTTTAGAGTTTTCTAGATGCTCAGAGATACCATCAGCCATAAACAATGCCAGAGGAAGTAGAAGAGGAGTGAACATAATAATTTATTTTCTCTCTGGGTTTGGTTTATTTTAAAATCTGTAATTCCTAAAAGGAAAGTGTTGGGAGTAAAGAAGAAAAGTGGTGAATTTTTTATTGAAGTAGTGTGGCTACTGTGTTTTGTTTTTTAAATTCTTTACAAAAATCCCATTTCTTTACTCACTTTGTTGTTTTCCAAAGTGACCAGTGAGTGTGACAAACTCTCATTGAGTCTTGATTAGTTTATTTTATTTTTCTTTTCTTTCTTTTTCCCATGAAGTGGAGAACTCAGGGCCTTTTTAAACCTGAAGTCACCTGCAGGGCTCGTGCCTCACTTTGTGGTGTTATTGTTTTCAGCAATGATCTCTCTGCTCAGTAAATGATCAGCTGGGTGGTTGGATTGAACCCATGCCCGTAAATAAATACAAAGCACACTGGAATTTCAGGAACGTGAAGGGCATCCCTCACTTGTCACGGCAAAACCACCAGAAATTTCCCCATGAAGCCTTTGCAGGTCACTGGTAGAGAAAAGTGTCTGTGCATCACCTGCATGTGGTACCTTTATATTCCTGTTTATATTCCTGCCATCTTATTGTCAGTGGGATGTTATATATAGCTTTTATGGTAATTTTGTGTGCTGAATGCAGTTTCCAGGGAGGAAATTGCATTGAGAAATGGGTGAAGAAGTAATAATAATAGCAATAATCTGCATAAGCCCCTGTTGTTAAAACCCACAGCCCTACATCTCCTGAAGAAAAATGCACAGATAAGAGAATAGTTTTCCAAACAACATCTTCAAATGGCTTGGAGGGTGACTTTTGGCAAGGGGAAATGGTTTTAAACTGACAGGGATTTGGGTCAGATGGATATTGGGAAGGAATTCCTGGCTGTGAGGGTGGGCAGGCCCTGGCAGAGTTGCCCAGAGAAGCTGCTCCATCCCTGCAGTGTTCAGGGGCAGGTTGGAATATCTGTTTTAGATCTTTTGGTGTGTCCTGGTGTTCCAGGAGCAGGGAAAAGCCTCAGCTGGGATCAGGGACCCTCCTGCTGCCCTGGGGGTGTGGGACAGATCCTGAGCTTACACCAGAGCCAGAAGTCAGGCCTGGCTTTGCCTGCACACAAGAAGCTGTTTTACAGGGAAAATGAGACACAGTTTAGCAAACACTTAAGGGCTGAGTTAGTTTTAATAATGTTGTTTAATCCTGTTGAAATTGAGAGGATTACTTATCCTTAAACACTTCCCTGGCTGGGACTGGGAGCTGTGAGGAGCTGGCCTTGCACTGGGCTTGTCTTGTTCTTAGGAGATATTGGGAAAAATATTCCTGATATTGGGACAATCCTTCTAGAGATGCTTCAAGGAGGCTTTTTGTGCCTGAACCCTCACTCTGGGTGGCTTGGCTTTCTCACCTGAGTGTGGATTTGGGGTCTGTGGGTTTGGGATCAGTGGATTTGAAATCTCCACTCAACTGTGTTGGCTCCTCACTTTCTCACCTTAGCGTGGATTTGGAATCAGCAGATTTGGGATCAGTGGATTTGGGATCCTCACTCAGCTGGCTCCTCACTTCCTCACCTGAGTGTGGGTTTGGGATCCATGGATTTGGGATCTGTGGGTTTGGGATCTGAGGATTTGGGATTTGAGGATTTTCAGATTTGGGATCAGTGGATTTGGGAGCCTTATTTGGCTGTGCTGGCTCCTCACTTCCTCACCTGAGTGTGGGTTTGGGATCCATGGATTTGGGATCTGTGGGTTTGGGATCTGAGGATTTGGGATTTGAGGATTTGGAATCTGTGGATTAGGGATCCGTGGATTTGGGATCTGTGGATTTAGGATCAGTGGATTTGGGATCCTCACTGGGCTGTGCTGGCTCCTGATTTTCTCACCTGAGCATGGATTTGGGATCTGTGGGTTTGGGAATCAGTGGATTTGGGATCCATGGATTTGGGATCCCCACCGGGCTGTGCTGGCTCCTGACTGGAAGCAGTGCCTGGGCTTTGATGTGCCAGGATGAGCAGAGCTTGGGGCTGCTCAGCAGAGAACAAAGGGAGCCTTGTTGCTGAGGAGAGCAGGGAGCTTTTCTCTTAAATTTCCCTGGAAGTCAAACCCCGCCGTGGCACTGTCTGATTCATAAACTGGATTTTTACTTCAGAAGGCTAAAAATAGAGCATGGAAGAGACTCATTCAGTCAGTCTAGGGCTTCCCTGGTACTATTTTAAGCCCCCTGGAGCAGGGCTGGGGGTGCCAGGGGAGTTTCCAGTCTCTGTGCCCTGGGCTGGGTGTTCCAGGTACCACTCGAGGTGTTCTGTGCCCTGCTGAGCCCTGGAGCCTTCCAGGGATGTTCTCTTCCCTGTTTTCCATGTGAAAAGCACACATTTTTTCGGTGATTTCCCAGTTTTTTGGTTGCTGCCGTGGATTTGGCTCCACATGTGGGGCACCAGCAGCTGACAGCCAGGCTGGCATTCATGGCACGTGAAAAATGGGAGTGACGAAGGTTGCAAAAGTGTGGATGGTCTGAGATGGGGCTCTCACTGATGTCCTGGCATAAAAATGTGGCTCTGAGTTCATCCCAGCAGAAAATCCAGGGTTGTGGTCCCTGGGTGGGTGGTGTGGAAGTGGCTCAGCAAAGCAGGGGAGCATCCCAAAGTAAAACTCCTGAATAAAGGGAATAAAAAACCCTGTGGCTGGGTTGGATGCAGGGCAGCCCCAGGCAGCAGCAGCCCCCAGGGCTTGGGTTTGTACACATGGAGCCCTCTCAAGAAGCCCTTTATCCATGTCCCATCCCAGTCCAAAAATAACAGGTTTGTTTTTATTACTCCAGCTTTGAAATTGTGAATGTGAACAAGGGTAAAACACAGCTTAAATCTACCTCAAACCCATTCTTTGTTCCTCTTCATCGAAAATTCTCCATAGCAATTAAAACTTCCATCAAAAAATGGGAGTTCTTCTGAAAAACCTGGTGGTTTTATTGCTTCTGATTGCAGTGCTGATGAGAATATTTTGGTGTTGAATCACTCCTGGCTGTTTTCTGCCAGAAAAGGGCGATGGTCTGCACCCACCTCTGACAAACTGATGATGCATCTTCATTGAATTGCAGGGAGTCAGAGCTGCTCAGTCTTGGCAAGTTTGCCTCAATAAGATCATTTTGTCTGAGGAGAGACAAGAAAGGAGTTGTAATCCTTTTGTAATAAAACACAAAGTAAGAGGTTTTTCTCAATGCTTCTTAGTGTGGCATAAAACCTGTCAGGGCAGGTCTGGGCTCATTAAATGAGAGTGGGGATGGAATTTCCTCGGATGAAGCTGTTCAGTAATATCTTGAGGGTTAAATGTCTTTTGTGCTCAGTGGTGGAACCTAAAGCAGGGTTTGCACTGGCAGTGTGCTCCCAGCCCTGCTGGTGACACTGTGGCACTGAGGGGGGGACTGGAGCACTTCCATTCCAGTGGGGTGCAGCTCCAAGAACCAGGCTGGGGGTCCTTGGGCTCCCACCAAACCTTCCTGTGTCCTCAGTAAGCACACCAGCCTCTTTTTTCTCTCATTTCCAGGTGATCTCTGCAGTATCCAGGCTCTCCTTCCACAGTATTGCTCAAACCAAAGGAATTAGGTAAGATCCTTTCAATATGATGCCTTAAAATAACATTTCTCTCCCCCTCTCCATATTCTTTGTGTTTAATCACATCAGACTCTTTAGAGGCTGCACATAATGGAGTTAAACAGACACCAGGGGTGCCTTTGGGATGCAGGCAGGAATAGTTTCAGATGAAATAAGTGAAAACATGAGGAATTGTGTGCACTGTGCGTGCTGGGCAGGGCAGCAGGGTGAGGTTTGGGGTCTCTAGCTGGAGGTTTTGCTCAACTCCACGAGGGATCCCACAAAAGCCAGCAGTGCCAGGAGCTGTGGCATCATCCCCCTGTCCCCACTGCCCCTGTGCAGGAGAGCCCAGGGACCTTTCTGCCCCTACCAGCTGGGAAATGTCCCCTGGCTGTGTCACAGGCACATCCCTGGTGACAGTGCAGGGTTGCAGCCGGGGTGTGCTGCCTGCTCCTCCTCTGGGGGAGCAGTGCAGAAGGAATTAAAAGCAGCAGACAGCCCCTATTAAGCAGAGCTGTTATCCTGCTCTTTGTTCAGCTCCCTGCAAAATTGCTTTGCAATTGCTTTCCTTGTTAGAGTGCATTTGTATTATTAATCTGGGAACATCTCATTAGGGCCACGGCTATAACAGGGATGAGTTTGCAACCTAAATTACCTCTCCTCATTTTTCTGGGCAGGGAGTGGGTGTGTTTTCACCCCCCACCCCCCCCAGCTACAGAACACATTGGATTTTCTCCACAGCACTGGATTTTCTCCTGCTGCTGTTCTGGGTGGGATCTGTGGTGCATCCCAAGCCAGGCACAGCCAGGATGAAGGGATGGGTGGCATCCCTGCCCCACTCCCAGCCCTGCCACCCACCCCCAGCACCCCCTGCCACCATTCCCACTGTTGGAACATATTTTCCCTGCCTTGTCTGCGCTGAGATTGCTGGAGGGGAACAGCTTTTCACGTGTAAAACCAGCTCAGAGCCTTCCCATCTGTTAAACACAGATCCCAGCAGGGCTGGGGGAGAGGCAGGGCCGAGGCTTTGAGGAAGAAAGATGTGCTGTGAGTTAAGGGCTGTTTGTTGTGCAGATAGCCCTGAGTCCTGCAGGAGCCTGCAGTGGTTTTTGTTTTAAGGGAGAAGAGCATCCAAGGGGTTTGGAGGCTGGGGAATTCACGTGCACAACCTGCAGTGCCTTGGCAAGGGCTGGTTTGAGTCTTGGGGCATCACCGGGAGGGTTCCAGGGGTCACCCCCTGGCAAAGCCCTTCCCAAGGCAGGGAGGGGGGTCCTGGATCCAGCTCAGAGGATGAAGGAGCTGCCACCCCTGGGAAGGCTCTGGCTGAGCCCCTGTTGGGTGTGTTGAGGGCTGGGCATAGCTGGGGTGCAGAGACAAGGGAGGCTTTGCTGGTCTTGTGGGCATGAGGCTTTTTCTCGTTCATTTTACAGCTGGCATTTACAGTTCCCACTAAAATCCTTTATCTTGGAAGCCTTTGGCACCATAATTACACAAGAATAGCACAGAGCTTAGTGAGCCTTTGCTTCTAACCCTGTTTTCCTGTGTATTAACCCTGTTTCTCCTCCAGCTCTGCAGGAACAGAAAATGCTGTCACTCCTTTAGCTGGAAAATAGAACAGACTAGAAATGAATTCTGTAATTCCAGGAAAATACCCTCCTGGGAGTGTTCCCTCCCATCCCACTGTCCCCTGCAGCCACAGAGCCCTGGCTTTGTCCATTGCTGCATCTTCTTTCCTTTAAATTAGGTGATTCCTTGCTGCACCATCACAAACCCCTCAATGGCAGAAACTTATCTCAAATGAATGAATCTGAATTAATCTAATCTTGTGGGAACCAGCAGCAGCTCTGGCTGCCTGAAGGGACTGCTCCCATCAGCCACCACTGCCCCTCAGCTCGTTGGGTCCATCCTCTTCCCTCTCCCAGTGAAGCTGCTTCCCTTGGAAGTGGGAAAAATCTTGTTGGCTTAGGCACAGTGCTTAAATACATGGTAAATAGAGTGAGATTTGGATGCTGGGTGGATTGTGTGGTCTTCAGCCCCACAGCATGAATGTGGCTCTGCTCCAATCCCTATTTTAGGGTCTGAGAATCAGGATCAGGCAAATTAACAGTGAAATGAATCCCAAAGCCTGTTCCTTGTCCTTAAATAAGTTTCATGGCGTGGAGAAAAATAAAAATCAATCTTGTGTGCTGTTCAGTGAAAAAAAAAAAGAAATCACTCTTTCTGTCTTAATAATTTCTGGCTACAGGAGCCTTGGCAGAGGAGCCCTGTTTCCCAGAGTCCTGCAGATAGCTATCAGGGCAGCTCTGAGGAGCTGACAGAGTGCTTCTTCCAAGAAACAAGCAGCAAAAACAGGGCAAAAACTCCATCCTGAATGCAGGGTTCCATTTGCAATGTGCCTAATGTGCAGCAGCTGCAGTCACAGCCCTGCTGTGACCATCCTCTGCCTGCCCTGTCCCCATCCCAGGGCTGCTCCCACAGATCCTGCAGGAGGCAGGCTCTGTGCTGATGGGACGGGAGCTTTTGGTGGGGTTTTGATCCCTCTGTTGTCCCAAAGGGTTGTGCACGGGGACAAAGAGCAGATCCTCATCGCTCAGGAGAGGAGATTGATTTGTTATTGGTTCTCATCCTTCCCTCCATCTCTTTGGAGGACTGTCAGCACTTCCAGGGAGAAGTTCCATCCCTGAACAAGGAGCCTTTATTATGCAGTCAGGATTTTCCACTGCAGCCCTAATTCCATTACCCCATTCCCACGCTGGCTGGCACTTCCCAGGCAGCCTGGAGGATTCTGCAGGATTCTGCAGCAGCGTGCTCCTTGCACAGGGATGTCATGCAAAGCTTCTCCTGGCCTTTGGAGCAAGAATTTTCATTCCCTTCCTGAGTTTTCACTCCAGATTTTCTTGAGCAAACTCAGCTCTCTGGAGGACAGCAAGACTTCTTGTTGCAGGTTCCAATAAACCAGGATTATAATTATTTTCTTAAAGCTTTTTTTCCCTGTTTTCCCACAAGGTTTTCCTGCCACAGGCAGGGCTGTTCCTGCTGCCTGTGGCACATCCCGGGCTCCATCATCCCCCTCGTGCTCTGGGGGCTGAAGGGGAGCTCTGAGCAGAGGAGGGGCACGTGTTTATTCATCTCCCTGAGATCTGTGTTTGTCCTGGAAGCAGAGTTCTGCAGGCAAAGCAGGAGGTTCAGGGATATTGGCTCGTGCTGCCTGCATGCATTTTTCATGTGTGCACAGCAAAGCCCAGCTGAGGGCAGGAAGGGGTTTGCATGTTCAGAGGCCTTTCTGGAGGCCCTAAATCTGAGCAAATCCTTTCTGTGTGAACTGAACCTCTCGGTGACTGTCCTCAGAAGGCACCACAGTTAATAAAAGACAATTAAAACCATTTGCAGACGGGCAGGAGGGTGAATCCTGGCTGTCAGAGGAGGTTTTCTCTCACAGGAGCAGTGGCAATGCTTTGGCTGGGCCGTGGTAGGAAGGACACAGAACCTGAAAAATATAAAAACAAAAACTTAAGGCATCAATCCCACCAGCAAACCCCACTTCTTGCAGAAGATGTGGCGGCACGAGCTGGAGCTGATCAGGATGTTCCCCTGGCTGTCCTGAAGGACAGGAGGGAGATAGGGGAAGATTTTTTATGGCCTTTGCAAGGGTTCTCCAGCATGCTCAGGCTTCCTGCAGATCAGATTTAGGTCTCTGCTCCCCTGCCCCTGGGGATGGGAGGCAGATCCAGCTGGGTGTGAAAATGGCAAGCAATTAAAGGCACTAACAATTAAGTCCTCAAGTGTCTCCTGATGAGGAGGTTGTTAGGGCACCTCTTCTCCTGAAGGTTGGTTTTACAAGGCCTGTTTTATTCCCTGCCAGCAGCTCTCTGCAATTGCACTCTGCCCATTATTCTTTTACTGCCGTTGTGTTTTCCTTGTACACACTTTAAGTGTTGCTGTAAAATGGATGGAGAAGGCTGGGGGAGGATCTGTGTCTGGAAATTACAGGTGCAGTTGGTGCTTTTGCAGAGCTCTCCAGGAACTGGGACCAGGCTTGGAACTGGTCCCCAGCACAAACCCTGAAGCTCAGCACAAACCCCACAAGCAGGAGGTCAGGTGGAGATTGTTTCTTCTGACACCACCAAACCTCTAGGAGTCACCTTAAAGCTCCTCCATTTGTTGATAAGCAGAATCCTTGGCTGAGAAGCAGCTCCTCTCCCGCTAAAAGAAAAAAAAACATTCTTAACAGATTTTTTTTGGCAAGTTTGTATCCTCACAGAGAGCCTGAAAAAAAAAAATATCCCTGACATGTTTTCCTGCATGGCTGCTTTGTAGGCTGGGGGGATGCTGAGGTCACCCCACAAGCATCTGCTCACAAAGCAAAGGCAGCTTCTCTGTCCCCTCCCTGCAGCAGCTTTGCTTCATGAACACAGCTCTGATGAGCTCAGCTCTGCTGGCTGGGCTCAGGTGGGGCTTGCTGGGCCTTGGGGTCACCTCTGTGTCCCTGGTGCTTCCCTGAGCCACCCCTGTGTCACTGTGGGACCTTTCCAACACCTCTGTCTTCCCAAAATGCAGCTCATTCCTGAGGATGCTCCAAGGATGGAGAAGGGTTTCAGGTTTGGGGTCACCTCTGTGTCCCTGGTGCTTCCCTGAGCCACCCCTGTGTCACTGTGGGACCTTTCCAACACCTCTGTCTTCCCAAAATGCAGCTCTTGCCCCAAGGATGCTCCAAGGATGGGGAAGGGTTCTAGGTTTTGGGTCACCTCTGTGTCACTGGTGCTTCCCTCAGCCACCCCTGTGTCTCTCTGGGACCTTTCCAGCACCTCTGATTGTCTTCCCAAAATGCAGCTCTTGCCCCAAGGATGGAGAAGGGTTCCAGGTTTGGGGTCACCTCTGTGTCACCGGTGCTTCCCTCAGCCACCCCTGTGTCATGTGGGACCTTTCCCAACACCTCTGTCTTCCCAAAATGCAGCTCATCCCCAAGGATGTTCCAAGGATGGAGAAGGGCTCCAGGCTCAGCTGGTCTGAAA